ATAACCTCTGATCGCTTTGCTTGGAGTTCACGATGTGGATAATAAATAAAATAATAAAAAAGAAACTCTATATTGTTATAAGAACACAAACTTTAAATTTAGGCGTAAATATAAAGCATGCCTTGCGTTGTTTTCCATCTCAAATGGCCATGTTCTGAGAAAAATTAGATGATTTCAGAAACAGACAATCCCCTTCCTCTCCCTCCCTTCCTTCGAAAATACGTCTTCATTTACCATGCACAACTATTTTACAAAGGGTTAGAATTTTCGAGAAGTGATGGTAGACAACCACATATTTTCCTTTCCTAGAATAATAGCAATATAAATCATTTTAAAATTTTAGATATAACTGGCAACCAAGGCAGTTTGTCTATTTCCCGCGCTTCCAATCAAGATTGTGGTTATATATCGTGTCCATATCCTCTTTATTGAACTGAAGCAGCTTGCTTATCACAGGTAGGAGCTTCGCTATGGTCGGACTATTATTACACATGCACAAAAGATTCACAATTATGGATTTCAAATACGCCACTTGCTGCGAATCGAGAGCTCCCTCTAAGAATTTATTCACCTTTCCGTTTATCAAGCCTTTTTTCGCTCGCCAAAGCTGATCGGTAGTGGTTGTTAGGCTTTCCTGGAGTTTTTGGATCACTACATTGGCCTCCGCGAGAGAGGAGGGGTTGTGTTGATAACATGTGACTGAGGATGCTTTACCGTTATTCACTCTTTCCGCTTCATTACTAGAGTTCAACTTCTGCATTTTGCTTTTCATTTCTGTATTTTCGTTCAGAAGGGCGCGGTGCTGGCTTTCAAGGGCCTCGAATTCTTTCAGAAGCTCCCCATAGGACGCATCGTCCGGAGGGGATGCCGCCATAGACAGCAGCGAGGGTGGTTGTTTAGGGAAGGACAGCCCGGCTTCGATCTCGCGCGCGATTCGCTCCTCCGCCTCTTGACGGACCACATCCATCTCCCGCTCGTGCGTCGATTGAAGCCGCTCCAGTTCGTCGTGGTGCTGCATGACAATCGTGTTTTCGTGAAGCGCGAACTCCGCGCAGAGGGCGTTGATTCGCTGCTCCATCTTCTCCTCCATCGCGTTGATTCGATCCATATTCGGCCCCCGCGAGGTCGCGTCGGACCGCCGCTGGAGCTCCTCGTTCACCTGCTCGACGCTGCTCAGGCGCTTTTCCAGAAGGGAGATGGTCTCCTCCTTGGCGAGAAGCCCCGACGCGCGCGCCTGGAGCTCCTTCTCCGCGAGCCGAAGCGATTCCTGCAGCTCCACGACCTGCGTTTGCAGGGCCTCGGCGTTCTTTTGCTGTAGCTTCATCGTCGTCGCCACGCGCCGTTTGTAAAGCTCCAACTTGTCCTCCGAGGGGGATTGGCGTTGGGGGTGGGAAAGCAGCCCCAGCCAAAGCACCTCCATCTTTTCCCCACAGGCCGTTAAGAGGGATTCGCCGACCACGCGCTCCCGCTCGAGTGCTGCCAGGCAGCCTATAGTACAAGGGATTCCCAACCCCCTCGGGCATTCGTCATCGCCGTCCTTTGAGGATCGTAAGTTGTCGAGCGAAAGTGCTAGTGCCTGGCGTTGGGACTCAGAGACCTCCAATTGAGTCGTCAGCTGCACGATTCGCTCGCGAAGGTGATCGACCCCTATCTTGGCTTTTACTTTCCACTCTTCAAATTTACTTTGCGTTTGTTTGAGCTCCTCGCCAAGGCGAGCTAAAGCTTCCCTTTCACAATGAATCTCTACATTGTTTGTTGAAGTGTCCAAAGTATCATGTTCCATTTCTACTTTAAATAATACAAAAAATAAACAAAAAGAAAAAATAAGAATTAGATAAATAAATAAATCAATATATATATATATATATATATATATATTCGACAAATATCAAGTGTGTAAAGGAATGAAACATTCGAGTTTGTAAGATAATAATATCGATCAAATAGCGTATTATTTATCAAATTCTGAACATTGAAATACCATTTTTTCTTGTTTTACATTAATGGTATCTATTTTTCTCTTAAATAAAATAATATATAAAAAATATATACTTAGTAATTATTTTCCATTGTATAACTTTAATCTAAATTAAATTAAAAGGACAAAAGATGGTCATTCAGTTGGGTGTATCAAGATATTTTCAGCAAGCATTTTAAACAAATTAAAATACCTGAAAACTACCTAGTTAAAAAAAAAAATCCAAAAAAATAACAATAGCTACTACATCGCTTTATTTTATATACCATACAACGCATTATACCATAATGGTAACATCACAGGTTGTCAACACTACGATTTATAGATACCAAAAACCGACTTGCAACCGATGTTTGATATTTGGGTTGGATTTCTATGAATGCAAAGTTGCACTTACAAAAGTTGAAAAAAAAAAAAAAAGAAAATCAAAGATAGACCGGGGCCGAGAGCGATCCCGTATGAGGATTATTTACGATGCAGTCTGTAAAGGTAATAGCTGGCGACGGAGGAGAGCAGGACGATGGCGACCGCGCAGTCCTCCCGGCAGTAGGCGCAGTAGTCGTCCCGCCCGGGGGTTTTGTAGTAAATCACGTAGTTCGCGTCGGCGTAGTTGGGGTCGACCACCCGCCGGCGGCGGCGGCGGCGGCGTTGGAGGGGGGAAAAAGGGGGGCGAGGGCCCGCCGGCCCGGGGGCCCCCCGGCGGTGGGA